GGCGGCCGCTCAGGCGACTGTCCCACGCACAGCAACCGACACTACCACCACCTTCCCCGACTCCAGGGATGAGGATCAGGACTACACCTGCCCTCACTGCGACCGTACTTTCACCTCACACATCGGCCTGGTCGGTCACTTGTGAATCCATCGCACAGAGCCTGGCGAACCAGTGCCTGGAGCACCCACCTATACCCATCAAGCTCTTCTCAACTGTCCACACTGTCCTCGCACTTTCAGGCATCGCATGAGCCTATTCGGCCACATGCGCATCCACGACGACCTGCGGTAGACAACCGCCGGGCACACCACACATTCACTCACTCCCTACCTCACAACAGCATCACCACCATCACCCCACCAGAAATCAACACTCACACACCTCATGCACCCAACTGCCACCTCCCACGCAAGTGGGAAGTGTGCATCTCGACTCGGTCCCCATGCGGCTTCGGCTGCACGGGTGACTTGAGTCCGAGACTATCCCGACACGTCAAGCGTCGTGGATAGGAAGGTTGCTGATTGACGCCCGCTCTCGGTTCACGCAGTTCGTCGCGTTGTGTGTGTGTGTGTTGTGTAGTGGCGGACTGGTGGGCTGGGGACGAGCTGAAACAGCACCTTTCACGGCCCTCTCACGCAAGTGAGAGACACGCAGTTCAACCCCCGTTGTGTGAAATCCTGGTGTTTGTGTGTGTATGGGGGGCCAGGTCGTGCTGTGGCGCGCGCAGACATGGTCAGTCGACCATGTCAGCCACCGCGCCCATTCCCCACTCCAGTCTTCTGACCGGTTCGGACAGCGGCTGGGGTGTGGGAGTGGGAAGGGAGAGTGAGGTCGACGACTCAGCGCACTTTCTTCTCACTGTAAACAATCTGACGCGCTTGAAGCTATCACGGTGCGCTAAAAGCCGTGGCTTGGAAGGTTGCCAACTGACGGGGTACCTTGGACCTCCTCCTTCACAGGAGGCGGTCTGAGAGTCAGGCTGCAATGGCTCCTTTTTAATGTGGCCTTTATGGCATTCCCACCACAGTGTGGGATCCGAGCCAGGCGTTGGCGGCACGCCCAGGTGCGGCTTGGGCCGTGCCAGCCTCCAAATCTCTGTTGTGTTGGTTGAAATCCTGGTTATTGTTGTGTGGACCAGGGGGTGTGGTGGAACGCCAAGGTGAGGATCCGTCCGAGCCATCCACCTGCGGCCTCCCTCGGCTCCGGTCTTCTTGACTCTGTCTTGACACCGGGTCCGGGCGGGGGAGGAGGAGAGAGTGTAGGTAGATGCTACGCAAGTCTACCGGCACTATAAACCCCTGCGTAAGTCACCGTCCCTGCTCCAACCTGCTGCGGGGCACACGGTGGACATCATCGAAACCGATGGTCGAACTGTCATGTATTCCCAGGACCCACATAACTTCAAAAGGTCACAAGCAATTAATCTCAACTTTCTTAGGGTAGGTTAATTAGGAGGAAAATCTCTGACGATGGACTCCTGCACGAGTTCTAAAGCTGAGAACAATAAGCAGAATGTTCCGATGTTCGACCGCCTTTCTTCTTCACTTATGCCTACACCCGGAACTCGAGATTTCGCCATCATTCGTGGGGAACTTTGCGTCCACAACGACTTCAGAGGCATCTCCAAAGGGAATGCGAGTTCTCCCCAAATGACGAGAGCAGATTGAGGTGCGTCCTCATCGATCGCAGAGGTTTCTGAAACAATTGATGACATCGACTTCAGGCAAAGGCCACGCTAGCTCTAGTCGGCACCTTCCGTCGAGGGGATGCGCGGACGGAGTCCTTTGTTTTTATCATACATGTACCTCGACCCACCCCTCCCCAAAAAAACAAAGGACACCACCGGCAAATGAGGCCACCGCACCCGTTCCAATCACTTCCAGCCGGGCACTGGTCGCAGACATGCCACTGACACACGGAACAGAAAGAAAAAGAGGGAGAGAGAGTGAGAGAAAGAGAGAGAGGCTGAGACCGAAGCATCCTTCCTCAAAGCAGTTCTGCCAACTCAGTACTGTAATACGATTAACAAAC